TTTCATTTCTTCTTCGTTTGACTGAAACGCGAATCAAAGCACGAAACGTTTCTTTTTAGTTTCGAAAACGCTACGTTTTATTCTACTGGATGAATAAAAATCAGGAAATGAGAGTCTACCGAGCTAACCGAAATTCCTGGAACGGAAAAGGTTGAATATATAAATCTACCAAGTGTAGACGTACGTTTACGTACACGTGTATGTAAGTGTATGTATATATATATATATATGTATAAGAACATTCGTTTTTTGGTATCGAATGTATACGTGCAAGTTAAACAGAGTTACAAGTTAAATCGTTGCATTAGAAATGTAACTTTATATTTGTAGAAAAATATACGAAGTAAACTTAAATTTTTGTTACCTTCGTAATTTTAAATTTCGAAACGAACAAAATAAAAAACATTAAATGTCAGAAGGTAGAGAAACTTTTTATAACAAAAGTACTTGTATTTTTGGTCTAAAGGGTAAATTATTGAACGAACTTATCGAGAATGTAATAGTTTTTGTCTTCTTTTTTTTTTTGTTTTTCATTTTCAATTTATAGGAATAGAAATTATCCGACCGTCTTTGAATCTAATCACGATTCGTGACAAATACAATCGTTCTATTTTAACTTAATATTATAATATAATATTTTTATCAGAGTTAAATTGTTTCATCGAATTATATCAAAAAGTAATTATATATTTTTATATTCGAAAAATATTTTTGTTCAGACATTTTCGATTCGACACATTTAATATCAAATTCACATCTTCTTTATATTTATTTAAATTATCATAATGATTTCATATTTATATGTTCGATAAGATGATATTTATAGAAATCCATTCCTATTTTGAATCTATTTATTATTATTATTATCATTCTGTTATAATTGAAGCGTCAAAATTCGCACGAATGAATTAACTTGATTTTAATAACAACGCGTCGAATTTGATGAAAGTTTTGGGAAGTAGAAAAAGATGGTCGCGTTAGTTAGACACGTTTATCATGCAAAACGTTTACTTTACCATATTTTCCGTTTGAACATATATGCAAGTAAAAGAGAGAAAAAGAGAGAGAGAGAGAGAGAGAGAGAGATACAAACGTGTATATCCAACCAAAAGAGCGTACAATTATAAAAGACATGAAAAAAAAAATCTCTAATTATATCCTATACGTGCTAAAGATGTTTCAGAATTCGTATTCACCTAGGAAGAATACACATACATGCATACATAGGTATATACGTATATAATACATATATAAAACATACGTGGGGTAAGGGAAATGCTTGTTTTACCGCAACGCGGGAAGAATTCTAAATTTGAAAATGCAACTCCCAACCCTTGAGAGAATAATCCCACCCTAGTTCGAGATAATTATAAACATATTAAGTTTTTACCCCAGTTGTATATTTTATATTGTTCCTACGAGTCGAATAAATGTTTCGAGATTTCTAAATATTGCGTATTTGCATTAAAACACAAACACACAGGCTCACGTATACTCATAAACGCGTATAATAGTAGATATTATATACATATATAAATGTATATACTGGAATAAAGGTTTAAGTACGTATATAAATAATATTACATAGTAAAAATACATGAAAACATCCACTCACACATGTACAGACGCATATATAACATATTGGGTTGTTCGAAAAGTAATTTCGCTTTTATTTTTTTGTTTATCAAAATTCTCCGTTACTCGGCATTCACCCCTATACCTTATTAAATTATAATCTAAAATCGTAGAATATTATTTTACACTCTAGGAAAAAGACAATTAGTTCCTCATTTATATAGAATCTTCTTACTTTTACATATATTTAAATTAAAATTTCCATTTAATTTTCTTTCTTTCTTTTTTTGTTTTGTTGTTGTTACCATATCGTATTCAAAAATGAAGAAAATCAATGTTACAATATTTCGTCATATTTTGCTATTTTACTTTTTTTTTTTTCTATTACCATAAGAACCCAAGTGCAAGGCTAGGGGGGAGACATCCTGTATATACTAGGGTGTATAAATTTTTGTATAAATGTATGCATTTAATATTACATAGGTGTGTATATACGTAAGGTATATAAGTGCGTAGGTGTAAATATTATATAAATACATATGTATGAAACGTATGTGTATGCATATATTATAATATTACATAAAGTGAATGTTGGAGTATATACTGAAAAGGTTATATTCCTAGAGACACAAACCGTACGATATACTTTTCCTCGATGTGCCACGGGAAAAGAGTTTCCACTAAAAATTTGCATTTTAAGGAACGCGCATACGCTGTTACGTTGCAGCTGCACAACGCGTGCAAGGTAACGAGCTGGCAAGAAGATCGTAAATCCAAGAGAAATAACCGATCGACCGTGAGTATGCTCGTATCAAGAAAAATGATAGAAACTATGGGGGGGGACATAAATATATATTTTTGCAATCATATATATATATACAAATATTAATCATTCGTAAGATAAATATAAAATCGAATAAAATATTGATCCCACGACAACGATAAGAAAAAAACAACAAACGTACAAAATCATTGTTTCACAATCAATTTTTCACCCTCATTTTATTTATTTATTTAATATTATTATCACTTTTCTTTTTTTTTTTTTTTTTTTATTTTTCTTCTTTTTAATATAAATCGTTCGTTTTATAATCGTCGACCGCAACGCATATTTCCGCGTATTTCCTTTCAATTTTATTTCGACAATTCACACGCGTGGTACACACACACATACACACACCTAAGTATCTATAAGGGATAGTATATACGCATTGCAAACGCACACACATAGAATTATGCTTTTGTAAGCATGCCGTACAAGCATTATCGAATGCGTTCCAATGAATTCACGGATTAGTTGCATGTTAACGCGTTATCGTATAATAATAATACAACCGCGAATAATATTTTCATGAAATAATAATTAACGAGATATAGATAGGTAGGGGTAAAAATTTGTCCTATCCAAATTTATTTCGATTATTACGATGTAACGTAACATATTAATCTATCCGTCTGTCTGTCTGTTCGTCTAATTCAAAATAACATTATTACAATTGTCATATATAATTTATTCGTTATTACGATACAAAAGATTGAAATAGTCATTTTTCGTTCAATATATTTCATACGAATTATTTCTGAATATTTTTGTTTCCCCTTTATTGTTTAAACGTAAATCGTTCAAATGTATGTGTACGTATTGTATTCGATACACAATTAGTAACATCGAATTACCGATTAACATATGGGGAAACAGTATTGTTATAACAATTTTGAAACCGATTGTTCTATCAATTGTTGCAACCGATCGATATCCTCTGTAATTGATTAAAAATTTTCACCAACAATATTACTATACAAAAGGAAAACTCGTTAAATTTTTCCTTGATTAAATTGTTATTTCATTTTTATTAAATTAATTTAATGCAAGATTCCTTGTAACATTTTTATTGACAATATATATATTATATACCTTGGCATAATAATAATAATTAGAAAAATATCATCGATTGTTTTGTAGAGAGAATTATAATCAACCAATCCCGACCACGGTGGTATCGTTGGAAGAACAAATTACTCAACGTGAACGTTATCGCTTGGGATAAAATACATTTTTCTTTTATTTTTAATCTCACCTTGCGTATATTTAACAGATCTGCGAATTCGCGCGTTTAATATTTATCCATCGGTCAACGGGGAATAAAAGAACAAATTAAAATTATTGATCGTTCTAAGTGAATGGGTACAAAACAAAATAAAACAAAAAAAGAAAAAACAAACAAAGATGGAAAAGAAATGCAACAAATTGCATCCTGTTTCACATTTTAATCAACTCTTAAGAGAAAATAGAACAACAAAAAAGCGTGCTCTCTATTTCAAATACTTTCTTTGTTGTTTTTTTTTCATTTAATTTTATTATTATTTTAATCGAAATTTTCAATCGAGTATCGAAAGCTATATCGGTATTACATAGAAAACAAAAAACTGAAAAATAGTATAATAGTAGTTAAAAATTAAATATAAAAATGATATTACACACCTGGTTGAAAGAAAAATCCTTTAGCTTTTTCAACGTATGGGGACAAGGGGGGGGGGGCGCGGGTGGCCAAATTTGTTGCCACTCGGGTCTCAACTATTTCAAATTGTAAAAGAATTTTAGTACGAGTCCTATTAAAACATTCTTCTTCCGTTCGCGTTTCCTTTTTTTCTCTTTTTTTTTCCCCTCTCTCCACACTTTTCGCATATATATGAGTTATACATAATGTGTAAAAAACGGGAATTTTTGTAAAATTTTATGCGCGTATTCTCTCTCTCTCTCTATTTCTCTCTCTCTTTTTCTATCTATACACATATATATATATATATTACAAATTTTAATATACCTATATATATTGTATATATTTTATATATATATTCAAGAGAATTTACATTGTTTTAATAAATTTTCCTGCGTGCTTTTGACGTAAATCTGTCGCTGAATGAATCGAAACATACGTACGCACAAAATATCTCTCTCTCGTAGCGAAATATTATATATTTATATATATAAAATAGAAAAATAAAAAAATAAAAAGAAAATGAAAACCGTAAACGAGAACGAACGAACGAACAAAAAGGAAGAAACATTTTATTTTTTAAGGGAGAACCCCTTCACCCCTTCCCTACCACCTCGCGCGAGAAAAAATAAAAAAACAGAGCTTTGAAAAGTTGAAAAGAAAGTCAAAGGTAGAAAATATGAATGTCAACGTTAACATTGAAACATACTGGAGATGTATTTAGATTCGCACTAGGGTGAATAACACAACACCATCAACTATCGGGGGGCTAGATGAAAAGAGAAAACTGGATAAAGGAAAAGTGATTAATCGTAAACTGAACGAAACGAAACAAAATAAAAAAAAAAAAAAAGAAAATTGGACGAACGAACGAACGAATGAAGCAAATGAGACTGAAAAAGGTATTAATGAGTGAATGATACTCACCGGTAGGTACCAACACGTTAAGTAGGATAGACAGGATGAGACTGGTGACCCGATAGCCATGTATTATAACCATCAGCCACCTGGACACATTGAATCCAGCAGCATGCCATAAACCGGTGCCTTCGTGTACCATGTTTTTCAGGCTCGTCTTTTTCTACTTTCGCACGAACCACCACCACTATCACAATAACAACCACCACCAATTCACTAGCGCACATTCACGAACGTATTATACTTTAATATCCCGAAGGTTCAGTTCACAGAACGTTGCAACAAACAACCAACCAACCAACAATAACAACAACAACAACAACAACAACAACAACAATGACAGGTGGTATTACTAATACTACTACTATTACTGTTACTCCTACATACAGGTGAGTATTATTTCTGAAATACGAAACGTTTTATGATACGCTTGGGTGTCACCTTTTCTATCTATCTTTCTTTCTCTCTTTCTGTTTGTAATTCTTTTTTTTTTCTTTTTTTGTTTAAATCTTTTTCTTTTTCTTTCCCTGTTTGTCAAGCACCAAATGCAATTCGCAGGTAGTAACCGCTAGTATGATATCGTTGTTCACGTTAAAATATAAAAGGAAAAAAGAATAAACAAAAAATGATCTGTATTTTTCGTTTCAATTATAATCCCTTCCTTCCTTCCTTCCTTCCTTGCTTTTCGTTCCTTCGGTATCTTATCTCTTTCTCTCAATGATATAATACTTTCTATGAGGATTCTTGGGCGGAGAGGTAAGTTTTCCTTCTTCGTTGAATGAACACGAAAAGACGTACGCGACGATAAAACCTTCCAGACTTGGACAGTACATATATATATATATATACTTCCTCCACACCCCCTTAACAGTATATACTTCAACCTTCCGTATTTTTCTCCTCGCCCAAAGCCCTTCTCTTCTTCTTCTCTTTTCTTCTCTTCTCTTCTCTTCTCTTATTTCTTCCCTGAGAAAAAGAATTTCGTTCAGATATAAAGAAGAAACTTGTCAATACCGATTCGTATCGCACATTATTATCGTCATCGGTTTGAAACGTCGGGAACGCGAGTTAGCCAACGTTCTTGGTTGTCCTCGTTGTCGTCTTACTTCGAACACGCGAAACGTTTCTAATAGAAGATACTTTGACGATGGAATTAGGCGAGACATACTCTGACTTCCATTCGTGTTTAGAATCCGACTACCGATCGAGAAAGCCAAATAGATGGATAGTTAGATAAGAGAACAATTAGATTACTTCAACGCGAAATACTTATTATACGCAGAATGTTGTTTTAATCCTTCCACGAAAGACACACGCACGTTACATTCACTTTTATTGTTTTACGTTGTAAGCTTTAGGATAAAACTTTTCAGAAATTTCATTCCTTTTCTATCCTTCATCCTTTATAAATTACATTCACTTATGTACGTAAATACCGTAAGTGCAAGTAAGTAAGTATGTAAGTAGTTATGTATCACTCTCTCACTCTCTCTCTCTCTCTCTCTAAATCTCTGTCTCTCTTTCTCTTGTCTTTGCTGTCTTACTTCAAACAGAATAGATATTACAGTTTACTCGAAATTCGGCCCGCTCCAAGGCTATTCCCGTTTCGACTTGGCAAAGTAGTTCTCACGGTGCACAAAAGGCAACCAGCCGTTTGTCGAAGAAGGGAAATATTCCAGAACAAGCCTGTAAATCGTGTTGCATGAGTATTATTAGTGCGCCAGTCGCAGAAACGGAAGAACATTTTACTATACAATACGACTAGGCGTTTCCCTTGGAAGCCACCGTTTGTTGTTGTTGCTGTTATTGTGTTACTGTTGTTGCTGTTGTTACTGTTCTACCATATTACAGTTATTTATTACCGACACAATTTTGCGAATCGAAACACGTTTAATTTCTCTCTCTCTCTCTCTCTCTCTCTTTCAGTTTGAGTCTTTCAAATCGACGTCGTAGTCAATTCGGAAG